GAGCACCTTCCCGGGACCCCGGCGGGACGCGCCGGAGGCCCAGGGGGAGTTCTTTTGGAAAAGAACCAAAACCAAAACCGAAAGGGTATGGCACGCCAGGCACCCTTGTGATGAATCAACAGGGGGCGGCGGATCGAAGACGCCTACGGCGAATCACCGCCGCCCCCTGCCTTTGTGGAAGCGCCTATGTGGCCGAACCTTGAGGCCAGACCTGCCAAGCCATTGGACCACGTGTTCCCCGAATCGGTTTGGAAAGCCTTCGGGGAACACGTGGGCATCTTGAAGGTCATCTTGGCCGCCTGGTGGCCATTTTGACCCTTGCGGGCCTTCTTGGAGGATGTCTTGGAGGGCTCTTGGGTCGTCTTGGAGGCCATCTTGAGCGTCTTGGAGGTCTCTTGGGCCGTCTTGGGGCCCCTTGGGGCCGTCTTGGGCCTCTTGGGCGATCTTTGGGGGCACTTGGGCTGTCTCAGGCCGTCGGAAGGCAGAAAAAAAGCAAATGCCACAATCCTTCAAAAACCCATGGGAAATCAATGATTTTGGCCTTTTCGGCCTTTCCTGGAGGCCTTTTTGGAAGCCTCTTGGGCCGTCTTGGGCTAGCTTAGTGCCATCTTCGGCCGTCTTGGTGGGCCCCTGGCCCGTCCGACGCCGTCGGAAGCCGTTTGGGGGGGCCTCTATGGGCCGACTTGGGGCCCTCTTGGAATGCTCCACGGCCGTCTTGGAGGCCATCTTGGGCGTCTTAAAAGCATCCTGGGCCGTCTTGGGCGCCTTTTGGGGCCGTCTTGGGGGCCTCTTGGGCCGTTCTGGGGCCATCTTGGAGGCCTCTTGGGCGATCGTTCGGCGATCTTTGGGGGCTCTTGGGCCGTATCGGGCCGTCGGAAGGCCGAAACGAAGCAAATGCCACAATCCTTCAAAGACCCCAGGGAAATCAATGATTTTGGCCTTTTCGGGCCTTCCTGGAGGCCCTTTTGGAAGCCTCTTGGGCCGTCTTGGGCCAGCTTCGAGCCAACTTCGGCCGTCTTGGTGGGCTCCTGGACCGTCTGACGCCGTCGGAAGCCGTTCGGGGGGCCTTTCTGGGCCGACTTGGGGCCCTCTTGGAATGCTCCACGGCCGTCTAAGAGGCCATCTTGGGCGTCTTGGAGGGCTCTTGGGTCGTCTTTGTGCCCTCTTGGGGCCGTCTTGGGGGCCTCTTGGGCAGTCCTGAGGCCATCTTGGAGGCCTCTCGGGCGCTGTGGGGGCGATCTTTGGGGCCTCTTGCCGTCGGAAGGCCGAAAAGAAGCAAATGCCAAAATCCCTCAAAAACCGGTGGAAAACCAATGAGTTTGGCCTTTTCGGGTCCTCCTGGAGGACCTCTTGGAGACCTCTTGGGCCGTCTTGGAGGCCTCTGGGGGGCCTCTTGGGCCGTCTTGGACTCTCTTGGGCCGTCTTGGAGGCCGTCTTGGACCATCTTGGGCGAACTTGGAGGCCATCGTGGACCATCTTGGAGGCTATCTTGGGCCAACGTGGCCATCTTTGCGCCATCTTGAGCCATCTTGGAGTTTTTTTTCCGGATTGAGCACCTCTCCGGGTGGCCGGCGGGACGGGCCGAAGCCCCAGGGAGAGTTCTTTCGGAACAAGAACCAAAACCAAAACCTAGAGGGTTCAGCACGCCAGGCACCCCTGCGATGAATCGACAGGGGGCGGCGGATCTAGTGACCTTCGGCACATCCCGCCACCATGCCTGGGTGGTGGGTCTGAGGCCTCTTGGATGTTCGTCGGGATCTCGTCGAGGCCTGTCGGGGACCTCCTGGCGGAAGTTCTGAGGCTTTTGGTCGGCTGTTTGGGGGCCTCTTCGGGCCTCTCTTGGATCACTTGGGGGCATCTTGGGGCGCCCTTGGGCGCCTTTTGGGCCGTCTTGCGGCCATCTTGGGGCGGCTTTGGGGGCCTTTGGGGACGTCTTGTAGCGTCGGAAGCTCGAAAAGTGGAGAACCCCCGAAACATTAAGAGACCAAATGAAAATCAATGATTTTGGCCTCTCGGGGGCCCATGGGAAGACAGGCTCTGCGATGCCTCTTGGTACGTCTTGGATGCTTTTTCGGCCGACTGGAGGCAATCTTGGGCGTCTTGGACCGATCGTTCAGCGATTCGGGGCCCGCTTGGACCGTCTTGTGGGCTTCTTGGGGTCCGACAGATCGCCTGGTGAGTTCCTGCCTCCTTGAGTCCACCTTGCCAGGACCTTGCCTGGGTACTTTTTTTTTGGGGGGGGGCCAGTGTCGGCCCCGCGCGCGAACTTAAAGTGTTCGAACCTTGTTATTGATCTTAGCATGCGTCTGGCCCGTTGGGTCAGCAAATGTGTGGGGCATTTTGGCCTAGCGAAGGGGTTTTCGGAAAGGGGTCTGACATAATGAAGGACGCAATGGGCGCCTTAGAGGCAGCCACATGTTTTCTAGACCATTCGCAATATGAGCCTGACGCGAGATGCAAAGCGAGCCGTCCCATGCCCCAACCATCCGCATTCTCTCGCCCTTTGCTTCACACTCCTTGCGTTCTCATTAACATGTTCCCTCTACGTGCGTTTCGCTATAGGGTTCCAAATCGCTCTCTGGTGCCTTACTGGCTTCCGTCATGGAAGACAGCACGCATGAGCGAACAGTTGTCGCTCCAACAATATCGTTTGTGAAAGTCCGCAGAGTGTCCTGAAACCCACTGCTGGTTCAGTGCGGAGGGCTTTTGAACAGTAATCATATGAGTTTCCAGTGACTTGAGGGCGTGGGCTCTACACGTCCAGAGGGCATTCAAAAACATGTGGTTTCCTCGCCCGACTGGTCGGGATTGACGGATGGAAAACTCCCGAACCGCCTCGCCCGCCCTGCATACCGCGGTCGCCAGGCCCTCAGAATGAATGTGTGCTGCGTGCGTTTCCCGCCCCGCCCGCCGTGCATACAGCCGGACCGGGGTAGCAGATCGAGATCGGTTCGCGGAGGGTACCCGCGTGCTCTTCGTGCTAGTTGAATGTTCTTGTGCGTCCTGGGGAGGGCACCCTTGGATGTTCTCCTTGTTTTGGCCGACGGAGGGTGTCATGTTCTTGAAGGATGTTCTTCTGGCCTGGGTCCGATTGTGCCACCCGCCCGAGACGGGCGACGCCGGCGCCGCGCCTTCCCCGAGGTCCGCCGTCGGAGGCGCGGGGCGCACGGTGCCTCGCGGCTCCGACGTCGGAGGCGCGGCAGGCAGGCAGTGCGCTTTGTCAGCTGGTCACGGGCGCGCTGCGCTGGAGCTTGCGAGCCCCCCACAGGGGGGCGGTGCCTGGCCCAGGGCTATATTCTTGAAGGGTGCTCCTCTGGCCCAGGTCCGAGTCCCGCGGCCGCTATTCACCGAGCGCGTTCCACTACTCGCAAAGTGCCTACTCGCAAACGTCAGAAAACATATGTTTGCTTCGATGAAAACTATCGTAGATCCCCCGCGGCAGATCCAGGCCATTTTCGAGTAGTTACTTTGCGAGTAGTGGAACCCGCTTGTCTAGCTATAGGCCCCGAGCCTCCCCGGGTGATCCCCGGGGGGGGCCGACTCGCCCGCCGTTGCACATTGCGGCCGGTGGGCCCCAGATATCCCCGAGAGTCTCCCACGACGGCACCGTGTACAGGCATACAGCACAAGCGTAGCTACGAGACAGCCCTTCGGTAGCAGATCATGGGAGCCTTGTGTGCCCGCTGACTTCCGTCGAATAGCGTCGAGTACTGTCTGGGAGTCGGTGAGCTAGCGCCGAGTTGGCGTCGATCTAGCGTCGATTAGCGTCGATCGATGTCGATTCGCAAGAGTCGACAAGGTGGTACGGGAGGCTACCATGAGTTGCCACCGAAAGACAGCACCACCAGGGAGGCGTGGCGCAGTGCAGGCGTCACGACGACATGGCGTCCACTGACATCATCAACACACGTCAAGATCACGCATCAAGACCCGAGGGTAAGGACACACATCGAGAACATACAGGAAGAACACGCATAATCTATGTTAGCCAGCGTGGACCCCATACAGGTATGTCTTGCCATCTATGTTCATCGGGAACAGAAGGACCCGTAACCCTAATAACACGATGAAGGCGCGGCCTCATTTAGGTCCCCGCCCTCGCATTAAGGATCATACATCTGAGTGGTTTGGTTTGATATATCTGCAGAACAAGACCCCCATCCCTAATGTGTTTGGCCCTCCTAACTTTGGTCTCCTCCCAAAGGGTTAGGGGTGTTTGTTCGCTTATCATAGACGGTATAGTCTAAGTGGTGCAACCAATGTGGTGCAATCTAGGCGGTGCAATCCATGCGGCGCAACGCAATACAAAGCAATGCAAGCCAATGTAAGGCAATGCGATTGACTGCGATACCAATGCAGAGCTATGCAAAGCCCATGCAGGATGATGCAAAGCATTGCAAAACCATGCAACGCAATGCAAGGCCATGCAAAGCAATGCAATGCGATTGAAATGTGAAGCGCTGCGATTGTATTGCGACTGCACTGCAAAGCAATGCCAAGCAATGCAATGCAACGCACTGCGAAATAACGCAAAGCGATGCAAAGCAATGCGATACAATGCGATTGCAACGGGGGGGGTGCATCGACGAGGCGGCGACGGGGCGGCGACGGCGACCACAAGGCGGCGGACCCGACAACGGAGCCCAGACGACGGGCGGCGACGAGGCGGCGACGGGACGGAGAAGGGGTTGCGACGGCGACCACAAGGAGCCCAGTTCCTTAGAAAGCAAGTGAGAACCCCAAAGGACAAGCACTGCTTGGGGAACACCGAGAAGAGACGTGACACCAAGAACAGACATTGTCAACCCACGCCAATGACAGTGACAGGCACTGTATATATATATATATACACATAGATATGTGAAGTCAAGAGCATGCATGCAGAGATCCCTTGCTGCTCCTCCTCCTCCTCTTCCTCCTCCTCCTCCTCCTCCTCCTCCTCCACGTCTTCCTCCTCCTCCTCCTCCTCCTCCTCGGGCGACCTCAGCGGTGCAGGGGAGGACCCCCGCGGCCTTCTGGAGACTATTGTCGACAGCGACTCCGACGGAGCGGCGTCCGGCGAGCGGAGGAGATCGGGGTCTCGGGGGCCCCCAATCGGGGATTTCGATGAACCAGGACTTTGGCGCGCCCTCCTCCCTCCTGCCTCCTCCCTCCTCGCTCCTCGCTCCTGCTCGCTCCTCCTCACCCCTCCTCGCTCCTCCTCGCTCCTACTCGCTGCTGCACTGCTCCTCGCTCCTGCTCGCTCCCCCGCCCTTCGGCGAACGGAGGAGGGCGGGGCCTCGGGGGCCCCGCAGCGGGGAGTTCGATGAGCCAGGGCTCTGGCGCGCCCGAGCCACCTGCAGCCGTGGGTCGAAACATTCTGCGCTGCCCCGTCCGGGCTCCCAGGTGGGGGGGGGGGGGGTCGGGGGCCTGGCCAGCAGTGTCCTGGCCGGGAGGGTCCCGAGGGATTGGGCCAGCGCGGATGCGCGGATGCGCAGGGCGAGGAGGAGGAGAAGCGAGGAGGACTTGAGGGAGAGGCGGGGGAGCGAGGAGGAGCGAGGAGGAGCGAGGCGCACACACGGGATGTCGCCGCTGCACGCACGGGATGTCGCCGCTGCACTCGGGCACGCGGGCTCGTGTGCTGGAGCACCTGGACCCGGAGCGGAAGTGGTCAAAGTCGCCGAGGGCGAGGCCGCGCGCGTCGCCACCAACCCTTTTACCACGAAGGAGAAGCACAGCGGGCGAAAGCTGAGAACCGCCCCGCGCATTGCGCTACGTGCCTTCTTCGGCCCGCGGGCCCGCATGCCCGCATGGACATGTACATAAACGCTCCTTCTTGTGACCAGCGTGCCGAGCGCGCGGAGGGCGTCGACGCTTCGGGCGCGGCGAGGCTCGTCTTCATCGAGCCGCAGACGCCCACCCCTTTCGATTTCCGCAAGCACAAGGTCATTCAGACAGGCTTGCAGATCCCCCACGCCAAGGTGCTCGCGTCGACGGCTTGCCAGGGCCAGACCATGCGCGAGGCTGTCATCGTCGACGACAGGCACAAGGACGTCGACGACATGGACTCCCTTTGGTTTCACCTCTTACCTCGTGCTCTCCAGAGCGACGACGTGTGACCACCTCCTCATCATCCGCGCGCCAGGCTTGGATTTGTTGTTGCGGGGGCCGCCAGCGGACCTGGCCGCGCGACTCTGGACTTTCAATGCCCGCGAAGAGAATTGCAGGAAGCAGTCCACGAAGTTGGCGCACGTGCTCGGCCTTGCCAAGTTCTTGCGCGACTGGAGGGCGGAGAGCAACAAGCGGGTTCACGGCGCAACTTTGGCGGCACCGTCGGCGACGCTTGCAGCGAGTGAATGCCGGTCGAGTATGAATGGGTTCAGCGCGCGGCGCTGTCGCGTCACGCGGCGCTTGGCGCTGGAGCAACACGAAGCGCACTGCGCTGTCCTCAGTCGCCCAGTCGCCCCCCTCCTCAGGCGCCCGTCGCCCTCTGCGACACCGCGAGCGGACCTGGCAGATGTAGCGCATGGCGCTGTTACCGTCGACCGTATGTTTTCCCCTTCGTTATCCATCCTCCTTGTCACCCCCTTTTCCTTCCTTCCTTCCTTCCTTCCATCCTCCCTCTTCCTCCTTTCTCCTCCTCCTCCTTCTCCACTCCTGTCCCCCGCTACATGTTGCGCAAGTGTGGTGTTTCGCGACGCCTTCCCGATTTTTGCGCATCTGGCAAATGTTCTTTTGCGTCGAGAGTTCACAAACATAGTCGCTTCACGTGCAGACGGGGTTGGGTACGTCTCAGAAAATCTTCCGACTGCGCATAATACGGCGGGGTCCTCTTCGGAGTTCCAGGTCCGCTATGACACGTGTCGGTGGATGGGCAAACAACAGCGCAGCGGGAAGGGGTGGGTGTGAGGGGTCGGATTTCAGATATGGCGAGAGCGTGCCTAGCTTGCCTTTTCCCTTTTCTGCCCCCCCCCCTTTCACCCCTCCCCCTATCCCTCCCTCACCGCCAGGAACGACCAGCGCACTAACTGCCAAGCATAACGTTGCCAATGGGCACGGCTAGCTCGTCAATAGCATGCGCAAACCCTCTAATCAAGCGGGCATTGGTGGCACAATAGGCGCCAAGGAGGTCGCCACGGTCAGTTTTGCCAAATTCAACGTGCAGTCCAAGGCCCCATGCCGCCGCAATCTCGTTCCCTGGCATGGGCAGGAATGCAAAGGCTCCGGGTTGTTGCACCGCCTGTTACAGCATAGCCAGCGGAACGGAGAGAAGGTCGACGCCGCCTCAACAATACTAGAACGTGCAATGAGGATGACCGACTAAGTAGCCCCCCGGTGGACGACAATCTACGAGGAGGAGCAGCACAATGACGAGAAGAACGCGCAGGAGGAGGAGGAGGAGGAGCAGGAGCAGGAGCAGGAGAAGGAGGGGGAGAAGGAGGAAAAGGACGAGGAGGAGGAAGAGGAGGAGGAGGAGGAGGTGGAGGAGGAGGAGGAGGAAGAGGGGGCGGAGGGGGAGCAGGAGGAGCAGTTAGAGGGAGGAGGGGGGAAAAGAAGTTGGAGAGGAAAGGAGAGGAGCAGAAGCATCAGGTGAAGAGCTCGATCCATCAGTTCCCAAAGGCAGCCAATAAGTTGCAATAGCACTAGCAAGAGAGCCACCGCCAGCTCGAGGTATGCCTGACCGCTGTTAGGGCCCAGCCGCCCCGCGCAGAGCAATTAGCCGTGCGTAGAAAGCAAACAAGGCGGCCGCTTGCTTACGCAGAATTTGCGGCGGCTATGCCACCGCCCAGGCCACATGACTCAGCCAGACCACTGTCAACAACCTCTGTTTCAGTTGATACCTACCTAGTCTAGAACCAACAGCGACGGTTGTGAACAAATGAGGCTGCCACAACAGTGCCTGGTGTGGCCACGCCTGTAGCCATTATCGTCTGCCAGGTTGCATTGGTGCTTGCAGCTGCATCGGCAACCCAGAGTTGCTGCTGGAGTCTCAGCAACCACCCTGCCTCAGCAACTCAGCACTCGGCGTCAATTTGGCCTGGACCCAGCACCAGCCAGCTCCAGTAAAATATCCTGCTCGCCCAATTCACGCCAATTCGCCAGCCTTACCGCGTGCCGTGAGACCAAGCCATGCGACGATCCATCACGGCATCTTCTGTGCACTCGCCGACCTGTGGTCCACTGTTATGAGGTGCCCGCTCCTCAGCCATTGTGGCTCAAGGTAAAGCAGAACCTTAGGTACTACTTGCGATCAGCTTTTGGAACGTTCTAGTCGGCTTTTCGAGTGAACAATGCTCCACCTTGGGGCCGCTAGCCTCAGCAAATCGAAGCCCATCCTCGCCATACTTGCCATGGTGCTCACCCTGGCCGTGGCGTTTACATACATCCAGCTGCCTGCGGCAATTCCCGCCACCGTGCCAGCCCAGCACTCTGCGTGGCGACTGATCGAGGAGCGCACAGGAAGCCGTAACGTGTCGTACCTCATGCCCCGAGGGCTGGGAAAGCCGACGGGGTGTCTCTCCTCGTGTTCGGTGTCGTCTCCTTCCCTTCCTCGTCTTCCCTCCTCCACTTTCGGTGCCTCTCGTGGGCCTCTTGGAAGCATCCTGGGGGTATCTTGCGGGCCTCTCGGAGCCTCTTGGGGGCTCTCTGGGGCCATCTCTGGGCTCTCTTGGGCAGTCTGGCGCATTCGGAGTCCGTCTTGGGGGCTTCCCTCGGCCGCCTTGGAGTCATCTTGAAGCTCTGAAATGTCGTCTTGGGGGTTACTTCTGTCGTCGTGGGGCCGCCTTGGAGGCATCGTGGGCCATCTTGAAGGCTTCTGGCGACGTCTTGAGACCCTCGGCCTCTTGGACGGTCTCGGGACCATCTTGCAGGCCTTCAGGGCCGGCGTGGGCTGACAGAAGACCATGCGGGTGCGAGCTCGAAAATCACCAAACAGCCTGAGGGCCCTCCTGGGGGTCCTTTTGAAGCCTTCTTTGGCCGCCTTAGGGGCTTCTTAGGTTGTCTTGAGGCCATCTTGGCACGTCTGTGGGGCAATCTTCGAGGCATCTTGTGCCATCTTGGCGCCCCTGGTGGCCTTTCCCCGGAGGCGTCGGACCCCAGGAAGGCGCGGGGCGCCCAGGAAGCTTGGCTGGATGGGGGGTCTGGGTGGGGCGGTGTCTGCACCACTGCGTGATGAGAGGGGGGGAGCCCGTAGAAGATCATAGAAGCCCTACCAGACAACGCTTGGCAATTTGCCACGCCTCCACGTGCCAGTCCTCATGCTCCTCCTCACTGTCCTCACATTCTCCACGTCGTCCTCGTCCTTGCCTCCTCGTCGCCCTCGCCTTCCTTTTCTTCCTCTTCTTCGCCCCATACGCCCATCGGACTAAAGCGGCGCTTCCCGTTCTTGTTCGATCCGATTGCCACGCCTCCACGTGCCATGGGGGCACGTTGGCGGATTGCCGGAGCAGCGTGGGCCTTCGAGGCCATTCCTGCGAAGGCGAACTCTTCGGAGCGGCTCGCCCCCTCGCCAGGCGCCACAGATGATGGTGCTCTGGCTGACGGCGGCCAAGCGAGTGCAGAAGAGAGCAGCGCGACGCACGAGGTCCTCAAGACTGTCGTTCTGCTCGTCTTGCTGCATCCGTTCCAGCACGAGCGCCTGAAGCGTGCCTCCTGCGAGGGCACGCAGAGCCTGCTCCTGCTGATGTCCATGTGACGGGCCGCGCGCGCGCAGGCACGGCGAACCTGCCCGTGCGCAGTCTGCTCTTCTTGCAGGTTCGGCCCGCTGCAGCCACAGGGAGGTGGCTGAGATGGGAGAGGCATCCTGGCCACTCGGAAGGCTTCAGCTCTCCAGGGAGGCGGGAATGACAGCACCCACAGGGCTACAGAGAGGGAGGAGGTGGTATACCATGCGGGTGGACTGGAGGGAACCGGCAGGCAGAGCCGTGGGGTTTGGGTATGTGTGTATATATATATATATATATTCATTCCTCTTTCTATATTTTTATAAGCCCGGGCGGGGGGAAAACCCATCCCCCCCCCCAAAACCGGACTCCCGGGACCTGGGGCTTTGGGGCCCTCCGGACGGGCCTCGAAGCGGCCACCGGGCCTCGCAAGGCGTTTTGCCAAGCCTTCCCAGCACACTTAGGGCGATCAGGGGGGTCATCGGAGACGTCCCTGAGACCCCCAAGACAGCACAAGAGCGCTCCAAGAGTGACCGACGTGACCTCAAGATGGCCCAAGAGGCCTCCAGGACGGCCCCAAAGAGGCCTCCAAGAGTACTCCCAAGAAGGCCCCCCGAGTCAAAAATCATTGATTTTCTGAAGGTTTTTGGTGAATTGTGGGGTTCTCCTCTTTTCGGCTTCCCGACGCTCCAAGACGGCGGTCTTGTGGGCGTCCGAAGCCGCCTGGGAGGCTCCCAAATCGCCCCACAACCACCCGAAAGGGCTTCCAGGCAGTCCAAGAGAGCCCCAAAACGGCACAACACGGGTCCAAAATGGCCCTCAGAGAGCCCCATGGCGGCCCAAGATGGCCCAAAGACACCCTCCGAAGAATTCCAAATCGTGATTCGGTCCGGTCGTTCAGGGAGACGGCGGTTGGAGGCAGGGTGGCCCGAGGAAGCCCCGGGAGGCCCCCAGAATACGCCCAGGAGGCCTCCAGCAGGCCTTAAGAAAGCCCGAAACAACTTTTGTGAGGCCCCTAGAGGCTCTCCAAGGAGGAGCTTCCGCAGAAAAGAGCAGAGGAGGATGTGGAGAATGCGCAGGGTATGGCGAAAATAAGGAACAATAAGCATGGAGGAAGGATAACGAATAACATCATTATAGCGGCGATGCCGGAAAAAGGCAACCAGGAGTTATCGCTAAATTGTCGGTTTGACCTTCCTGCCATTCCGCCTGCAAACCAAACTTCAAGGACCAAGGTGCATGGCGCGAAGCGCCACTGCAGTCTTGTATATATATATATATATATATATATTATTGTGGGGGGGGTCGCCTCCATACCGCTGCCCCCCCCTTTTTTGATCTGCCGCGAGGCTGGTGGTCGGTTCGACTTATCGACCAGCAAACTTGCTGGCATCTGGCAGTTCGGCTCTCTGATCGTGTGTCTGGCTGGCTGATTGGCAAGTTGACTGGCTGATTGGCAGGATGGCTGGCTGGATGGACGTGGGCTTCGCGAAGAAACAAAACGAATCAAAGGAAGCGGTGTAACCCGCGGCGTGTTCCAGAAGGGATCGAGGATGCACGCAGCTTCCCTCCACATCCTCAATGGGGTTATTGTTTTCTGTAGGCCCCGGGCCCAATCTCTTCCCCTCACCTCCCTCTGCTCTTCCCCCCGCTCTGCTCATCAACCAACCGCTCTCATTATCACATCACTTTCAGCGTCGCTCTCAACATCCCTCGAGCATACATGGGTGGAGTGCCCTCCCTACGGATTCCCAACGAAGACCGCTGAATCTGAACGGATGTTCGGACCATCGCGAGAACACGGGGTGGAGAGGCCGTCCCGCTCTCCCAAGGCTACCGCCCCTCGTAGACAAAAGCGCGGGCGGGGCACCTTCCTCTAAGGGTTTCCACCGAAGACCACCCGGGCGGCTCTAAGAGTCATCATGAAAAGATTGGTTGGAGAGGACCTCCCACCTCGCAACAAATAGCACGTGTGCCTCTTAAGCCGCTTCGGGCGCTCTGCAGACCGAAGAGCTCGGTGTTGTCCATGATGTTTGCCTCTTGCATCGGTCCCTGGGGCCCCGATGACAGTCCAAGATGCGCCCGAGAGAGCTCCAGGGCCCTCTTGGCCCGCCTTGGGAGCCTCTTGGGACCCTCTGGCCGTCTTGGCGCGTTGTGGCCTCTGGGAAGTCCTGCGACCCGTCCCAAAAGTCACGCGAGCCGCCCCAGGAAGTGCGCCCCTTGGGCTTCTGGGCCCCGTCAACAGCACCACTGCTCCGAAGACAGGACTCAAATGAACCCAATGATGCGCCACTCCGTGCCTATGGCATGGTGGCGGACAGCTTCAGTTGAGAAACTGAGTAGCTCTGAGTTTCTGGGGCCAGACGAACGAACTCATGATACGTCATGGCTGCCGAACTGTTTCGCTCTGAGGAATTTTGCAGTGCTCATGACTGCACTGAGAAGAACTAAGCTGGTCAGTTGCTGAAGCCTCGGCGTCGCAGTCTGATTGCCCCCACAAAGGGGGGATGGGAGATTCCGAGCGCTGCTGCATCACTAGAGCTGTTCGAGCTCCCGATGCGCCGTGCTCAGATCCTCGAGAGTGCTGTTTTTGTGCTGCTCACCGCTCCCGGCGCGCCCAGCGCGCCCACGCCAGCAAAGAGTCGATTAGTGGCCACCTAGTCCAGCCAGAGCGCCAGCCAGCCCTAGCCGTAGTGGCAGCGAGCCCACATCGACTACAGTGGGGGCGCGCATCAAGAAACCATATGATTTTCGTCAGGGCATCCTGGGTTTCTTCGCTCCGCGAGCTGCGCGGTGACATCCTGCGGCCGTTGAAGAAGCTGCTGCGTTCATGGTGCTTCGGGTTCCCCTCAGGTGCACCTCGCGCGCGGGTTTTCAGGGTTGGGTTTCTTGCGAGGGTTTCTTGCGGCCGCGCCCGCACTGTACACCATCGGGGAGTGGGAGTTCGAGGTAGCTGAGAAGGGGAACAGAGATCATCATCAGCAAAGCGTGCCACATGTGGCCACGAGGCCCACCACCGCGCCAATCAACAAGCGACTGGCGACCGGTACCAGTCCACGCTTGCACCCTCAGCTCTGGCCAAGCGGCCCACCACATGCATGTACGCAGAATAGAGCTATGTCATGCGCTCGCGGCTAATACGTTGGCCCCGGGTGGACGGAGAGGGCGAAGCAAGGCGGTGCGGGAGGGCTCGAGAGATCGCTGGGTCGCCAGGCGGAGCAGTGCCGAGGGAATGCGCCAGGATGTGGAGGACGGTGGAAACTGCCCCTCTCCCCTCCTGCCGCGTACTTCTTCTGTGCATGCCGCGCCAAACTGAGCTTGGCAGCCTTGTCCAAAGTATCGCCCTGGGGTGCTGAACAGGGGAGGCGGGGAAAGAGGTAGAGGAGAAGGAGCAGGAGGAGGAGGAGGAGGAGGAAAAGAGGGAGGAGGAGGAGGAGGAGAAGAGG